GACTCTGACCAAATGATTCCTGTAAGCAAAAGGAAGTATGATTTGAGCAGCTCCTGGGAAATATCCATGCAGAGCAGAGCGAGTCACTGGCATACATAGCTGGACAGATAGGAACATGAACAAAGACCACCTGTCTGTGTGGTGTATGTGGTGGGACAAGGGATGCTGGTAAGGAAGAGGCCTTTCTGTCTCCAGGTGTCCAGTGTAGTGTAGGTCAGATTGAGATTTGATGTCACATATTGGAGGAGTTCTGATATGACAGGTGTGAAGATGGAGAGGCAGAGTGTATCTTCCCAAAGAACTCTAACCTGCCTCTCCATCTTCACATCTGTCATATCAGAATACATTTAACATGCAGTATGTGTTGACTCTGGAGCCCTGGAAGTTCCAGCCTACCTTCCTCCACCTGCCACACTTTTTTTTTCTTTTATTATTCATATGTGCATACAAGGCTTGGGTCATTTCTCCCCCCTGCCCCCACCCCCTCCCTTACCACCCACTCTGCCCCCTCCCTCTCCTCCCCACCCCCTCAATACCCAGCAGAAACTATTTTGCCCTTATTTCTAATTTTGTTGTAGAGAGAGTATAAGCCATAATAGGAAGGAACAAGGGTTTTTGCTGGTTGAGATAAGGACAGCTATACAGTGAGTTGACTCACATTAATTTCCTGTGCGTGTGTGTTACCTTCTAGGTTAATTCTTTTTGATCTCACCTTTTCTCTAGTTCCTGGTCCCCTTTTCCTATTGGCCTCAGTTGCTTTTAAGGTATCTGCTTTAGTTTCTCTGCGTTAAGGGCAACAAATGCTAGCTAATTTTTTAGGTGTCTTACCTATCCTCACCCCTCCCTTGTGTGCTCTCGCTTTTATCATGTACTTAAAGTCCAATCCCATTGTTGTGTTTGTCCTTGATCTAATGTCCACATATGAAGGAGAACATATGATTTTTGGTCTTTTGGGCCAGGCTAACCTCACTCAGAATGATGTTCTCCAATTCCATCCATTTACCAGCGAATGATAACATTTCATTCTTCTTCATGGCTGCATAGAATTCCATTGTGTATAGATAGCACATTTTCTTAATCCATTCGTCAGTGGTGGGGCATCTTGGCTGTTTACATAACTTGGCTATTGTGAATAGTGCTGCAATAAACATGGGTGTGCAGGTGCCTCTGGAGTAACCTGTGTCACAGTCTTTTGGGTATATCCCCAAGAGTGGTATTGCTGGATCAAATGGTAGATCAATGTCTAGCTTTTTAAGTAGCCTCCAAATTTTTTTCCAGAGTGGTTGTACTAGTCTGCATTCCCACCAGCAGTGTAAGAGGGTTCCTTTTTCCCCACATCCTCGCCAACACCTGTTGGTGGTGGTATTGCTAATGATGGCTATTCTAACAGGGGTGAGGTGGAATCTTAGTGTGGTTTTAATTTGCATTTCCTTTATTGCTAGAGATGGTGAGCATTTCTTCATGTGTTTTTTGGCCTGCCACACTTTCTGTTTCTCCAACTCCTAGGCTTGTCTCCACCTCCCAGCCTTTGCTCCAGCTACACTGGGGTGGCTTCCCTGGTGTCTGGCACCTTCTCATCCTTGATGGATTGATTAGTGTGTCCCCCTCCAAGAAACCTTCCTTGAACACCTGTACTCATCCTAGCCTGCTGTCCCAGATCCATTCTTTGACTTTCCCCTCTCTTATTTCACAGGAGGCTGATTGCTGCATGACTCAGCCATGGGGGTGACGGGCAACTGGCAGGAGATTGGGAGGCCAAGGGGTAGCCTCGGTGTGTCTCTCTATGCTCTCTGTCCCAATCAGTTCCTTGGGTGGTAGCTATGTTTCCAAGGTCCCAGCTTTCATGGCATGACCTCAGACCCTGTTTTGAGAAATTATCACTTTTTCTTTGCCACTCTGTGGCAATAACTTCCTGCCAAGGTCTTGGTGCCTCAGGGTGCCCTGTTTGGTCCTCAGTTCTCCATCATCTATGTTACCAATTCGCAGTGGTAAATTGTCTCTTGTAAATAGTGGAAGTGGCTTCTATTTTCTGGCTAAGCCCTATTGTTACCTCTGGCAAGCCGGTCATACCCCTAAGAGCCTTGCTGAGAACAAGGAACTCAGTGCCCTTTTCCCCAGCATCCACCTTCTGCATCACTGCTGTCCTTAGTCCTTCCCCAAGAAGACTCAGAACAGGCTTGCCATGTCACCTACTGCTGCTACCTCCCCAGGAACATTCAGGAGAGACCCCAGGGGTCTGTCATAGGGAGGAGAATGGTAGCTCCCAGATACTGGGGGCAGTGGTGGAGGTGGGGAGGCTGAGGAAAGGGCAGACAATGGACAGTGAGGACTCAGCTACAGCAGGACAGGAGGAACGAGTTCCGGGTTCTGTCACACACAAAGACTTTCACAGTTAACAATAATATGCTATATATTTCAAAATAGCTAAAAGAAGAATTTAAATGTTCTCATCTCATCTACCTGGAGGTGACATCAGATCCCACAGGTGGGATCCCTTGGTCCCAAGACCATCCTCCCAAAGCCAGGCACCAGCTTTGGGTTGTTTTACCCGGGTTTCTGACCAACTGGTTAGAAATTGGGTTCCCACAGCCCCATCCTTGGGTTCGATTAATACACTCAAGCAGCTCACAGAACTCACTTCTGTTTGCAGTTTATTACAAACGATGCAGATGCCCTCTCTGGGGCACCAGCTTCCAGGAGCCTCTGCACGCTCAGCTGTCTGTAGGGAAGATCTCCGGAGCTCAGTCCTTTTGGGGTTTTATGGAGACTTCATTGCATGACTAATGCCGGTAGACTAGGTGGGGAATGCCAGCAGGTCTTCTTCTGGGCCTCTCTGTGCAGCCTTCCTCCCTCCAGGGCTTAGGGCAGGAGTGCTGTGGAATGAAGAGGGTCCTATCAGACAAGGGGAGATTGGAGCATTTCTTTACATTGGGTCCAAGACAGACAGGCGGGGAGAGGTCAGAACTTCTGTGGCCCATCATCGCAGGGAAGAAGTTCTCGTTTCTATGGCCCCTTGGGGAGGGAGTTATGAGCCAGGACTATGGGAGAAAAACCAAAATACCCGTATCCTAACATTATACCTAAATCCTCCGTCTCACATGCAGTAGCTATGACATCCATTCATTTATTTATTCTACAAATATTTACTGAAGTGAATTCTGAGCTGTCTTGCATAGGCACTGAGGCGAGGACCCAGAGATGCAGCCGGGGTCCCTGTCTCCCAGCCATCACAATCTGCAGGGTTTTCATGGAGACAGAAACACAAACACAAAGACCAATGGTACAAATGAGACGCTTCATATATATTATCTCACTTAACCTTCACCCCAACCCTGGAAGTCCCATTTTCCAGATGAAGAAACTGAGCCAGAGTGGTTAACTGACTTGCCCATGGCCAAATAGTTTGAGTGAGGTAAATGGGCTGTGGGTTTCAAGCTGTTCTGAAGAAAGAGGGAGCAGAATGGCTGCAGACAGAGGCAGGCTACAAGAAGGGAGGAATGGTTTGTCCAAGGTCACAAGCAGACTCATTCTGGATCGAGATCACATCTCTCTGCCCAGGCACAAGAAGACCTGCACCTGTCATCGCTGCCTTCCTGGGTCCCCCGCCCTCCACTTTCCAAGCACAATGAAGTGGGTACAGTAGAAGCTCCCAGCGGTCTTCACTGGATCAGCAAAGGATTTTAGTCCCAGGCTGAAGGTAGGGTGTAAGCCTGCAGGAGGTGACAATTGACATCCCAGAGGTGGGGCTCCCCCAAGGCGGTGGCGGCTCCGGTCTGGGAGGGCTGGAGGTCACCCAGAGGCCTCAGAGGCTTCTCCAGAGAGGGAGGGAGTGGAGAGGGAGGGGGACATGACTATATATTGAGTCTCATATTTCCATTTGGAGAAACTTGCTGTGAGACCTTCAATGTGCAGCACAGGGTAAGAGACTCCCTCCAGCAGAGCCCGGCTCTTGTCCAGAGTCTGTGCAGCCAACTGCCACTAGAGTCTGGGGTTTTGGTTCCACCCCCAGGCCCTCTCCTGGTCTGCTGAGTGATCTGGACACTTGCAGGCCCTGGTTGCCACCTGCAGAGTGAGAGGGGCAGGGTATCGTCCAGGCTCCCTCTGCTCTGACCTTAGCAGACACATTCTCCACTCCGTGCCCACTCCACTTTAGGCATCTGTAGTGTGGGCACACCTTGGAAAGTGTGTTCTGCCTTGGAGGTTTGGGCTGAGCAGGTGAAGTCTGCTGGGGACAGGTGGGGAAGTGCATCTCCCTGTGCTCTAAGACCAAGGCTGAGATCTGCTCTTCCCACGGATTTACCTGAAGACCAGGACACCATCCACTGAGGTTCCTGGGCTGCCCTGGAGAAGCAGGTCATAATATCTGTGTGGGTGAGTCTGGCGTGGAAGGGACAGCAGAGACACTGTCCACTGCCCAACCAAAGGCCTCTGGCTGCAGGTTGACAAGCATCTGAGGACAGCAATGGGTCTGGTGGCTGCTCCAGGGAGTCTAGCTCTGTCACTGACCACTTGGCCTGGGCAAGTCTCCTCTCTCTGGTGTCTCATCCCCATTGGTGGTGTTTCTGAAGGACCCAGCCATGTCCTAGAGCCCTGTTCTAATGGCCTATGATCTAGAGGATGTTGGACTCCATGCATTTCTTCTGAGCCTCAGTTTCTCATCTTGACGGGGGCATGTATGTGAAGGAGCTGAGCAGAGAATCTTAATGTTCCCATTCTGGGTGGATGCCCATGTGTCTTGCTGCCCACGCCAGGTCTGTGACAAATGCTAGGCCCTTGGAAGTGGCCTGTCCTACAGACAGGAAATTTCACTGGGCCTCCACGAAGCTCCTGGGGCTGAGCAGAAGCCAAGGACTCCCTGACCTGGCAGCTCTGGCTCCAGAGGGAAGCAGGAGCTGGGTGGTGGGCGGGGAGGCGGAGGGGGGAGAGATTGGGTCCTCAGGACATCCCATTCCAGGATGCTGGAACAGTGTCTGGTGAAGACCTCAGCTGGTAACTCAAAGATGAGCACCTCCTCTGGGGGCCCAGAGGAGAGTCTGGGGGCCCCTGGAAACCTGTGGCCATCAGAGCCCATCACCCTGGAGCCTGGAGAATCTGGCCAGCAGGTGGTCCTGAGGAAGATCCGGGAGCTCTCTGAAACGGTATGGAGGGAGCAGGCAGCCATGGGAGGTGTGAGGCAAGGCTCCTTCTTTGGTAGCTAAGAAAGAAGGCTTCCTGTTTTATGACTTTGGGAAACAATTACACAAGTCTTTCCCCATGGCTCCCATCTTCTAGGGGTGCTGGTCACCCAGGGCTGTTCCCTCCAACTCTTTTCCCCTAGAACTTGGACTTTCCCTAGGGCCAAGCCATCTGGATGAGAGTTGGAGCAATCTCATTCCCAGTTTTGAATGACAAGATGCCTTCTTGCACACTTTATTTATTTATTTATTTATTTTTGTGGTATTGGAGATTAAATTCAGGGCCTCGAACTTGCTCCACCACTTGACCCCCTACCCAGTCCTTTTGTTTTTGCTTTGTTTTTCAGCTAGGGTCTTGTGACCTCAATCCTCTTATTTCTGCCTTCCAAGTAACTGGGACCTTAGGCATGTGCTATGATGCCCAGCCCCGTGTCCTTGTTTTAAGAGGGGGGAAGGCAAGGGTACTGGCAGGGTGAAGAGGATCAAAACACATTACATGTATGTGCATGTATGAGCTGAGAGAAATAAACCAGGTAACACACCACCCACTTCCCTACCTTGTCCTTGCCCCAGCAGGGCCACCAAGACCCCTTCATGGTGGCCGACCTGGATGTGCTGGCCAATCGTTATCAGGTCTTCCGCCAGACCCTGCCTGGGATCTGTCCCTTCTATGCTGTGAAGTGCAATAGCAGCCCCTGGATACTGCGGGTCCTGGCCACCCTGGGCTCGGGCTTCGACTGTGCCAGCCAGGTAAGCCCACGCCTGCTGCTATCATCCCCTCCATGGGCCTTCCACATTCCCGAGGACAAAGGTCAATGGCAAGGGCCCTGGAGTGGGACTGCAGCACCCAAACAGTGTCCAGAATGTGGAGGGTTGAGTTGTTTTTGAAGGAATAAGTAAAAGAACTACTGTGATCAACCTGTCCTGGGTTGTATGACCAGGGCAGACAGCCGAGATGGGGAATGGCAGGTGTACAGGCTTCCAGCCTCAGACCACATTCCTGTCCTGGCATAGCTAGTCCACCTTTCTGAACCTCAGTTTTTTCCTTTTTAAAATGAGCCCAACCCTGCTTTCCCAGTATAGTGCCTATATACAGTAGGGGTTCAACCAAAGGCCACCCCTTTGGTTCAGGCAAAGGTTCTGGGCTCCAAAGAGTAGAAGAGCAGCAAGGCAGCCCCTAGTCCTGGCTTTCACCCATGCCAGGGGGAGCTGGAGCAGGTGCTGGGCCTGGGTGTGGCCCCCTCACGCATCATCTTCGCCAACCCCTGCAAAGCCACCTCCCACATCCAGTATGCAGCCCGCTGTGGGGTGCAGCTCCTGACCTTCGACAGTGAGGAGGAGCTGACCAAGGTGGCCCAGCACCACCCTGGGGCCAGGTGAGACTGGCAGAGGTACAGGAGGGTGGAGAAAGGTAGAGCAAGAGATAGCAAGTCTGGGGTTCCAATGAAGGGAGTTGGGCCTCGGGAGCCAGGTAGAAGGTGGCCCTAAGGAGGCTCCCTGGGCAAGGAGAGGCCCAAGAAGCAGGCACAAGGGTTTGGATCAATGGGCTCAGCACCTTCCTTGGTGCACATTGGTGCCAAATAAACACTGGTGTCTGCTTAAGATACTGGACAGAGCCTGGCATGAGGAGGCCTGGCATCTATGATGTCATGGATAAAGTATTCACATTAGAGTTCGACCAGGGCTCACGATGCAGACTCATTTGTCACATGCTGTGTGGCTTTGGGAAAGTGATTTAACATCTCTGATTCTGTGACATGGGTATCTGCAGAACGTGTATTTATCACTCCTTGTGTCTCAGTGGCTGGATAGTCCAGAGGACCTGGGCAAGGGCAGGTGGGAAAGGGGGAGAAAGTTGGGGTGGTGGTGGTAAAGTATCTCGTGCCTATGCACCTGCATCCTCCTTGCCCCTCCTCCAGGCTGGTCCTTCGCATACAGACCCAGGACAGTAAGAGCATCTTCTCCTTGAGTGCCAAGTTTGGGGCCAGACTGGAGGCATGTGGACGCCTGCTCACGTCTGCCAAAGAGCTAGGGTTGGCTGTGGTTGGAGCTGCGTAAGTGAGCACAGGTCTGCCCTGCCTGGGAGGCAGGAGGCCTGGCTTCCATTTTGGACTCCAAGTCCTTGACTTACTGTGTGTGCTGGCCAGTCATGCCCTCTCTGGGCCTCCTCTGTGCTCCATTTATTCAGAGTGAAGGGCTGGATGGTTTTTGAGACTAGCAGATGCAAGCAAGACTCTATCCTTGGGTACAAAATTTAAGGGAACACACACACACACACACACACTCTAGTACTCTAGATAAACAACATTTTAAAACAATATTTTAAAAATCAAAATTAGCTGGATGTGGGTGACTCACCCCTGTAATCCTAGCTACATGGGAGACTGAGATTGAGAGGATCGAGATTCAAGACCAGTCTGGGCAAATCGTTCATGAGACCTCATCTCAATCAATAACTGGATGTGGAGTGCACACCTGTCATCCCAATAAAATAGGAGGATTGAGGTCTAAGCCTACCTAAGCAAAAAGTGAGAAGCTCCAAGATAACCAGAGTAAACGGGGCTGAAGGTGTGGCTCAAGTGGTAGAGAGCCTTCCTAGCAAGTGCAAAGCCCTGAGTTCAAATCCCAGTACTACCAAAAGAAAAATCCATGGTGAAAAATTGATACTTAAAATAAACCCAGAATTGTATTGTTAATATTTTCTTTTGTTTTGGGATCTAATCTCTGTCACTGGCCTTGTCTTTATTTAAAGTTTTATATGTTGCTTTCCATGGGTGTTTGCTTTAATTTTGCACGAAATGTTATTGTATTTATTTATGGCTTTTTTATGACACTAGGTTTGAACTCAGGGCCTTGTACTTGCTAGGCAGGTGCTCTACCACTTGAGCCATGCCTCCATTCTTTAATTTAGCTTCATTACTTAGTGTTTTGGTACCCCCTTAAATTTTGCACCTGATCAGAACAGCTCGCTCCTCTGACCTCTCTATGTAGCCTTAATTGATTACTCATCCCACCTTCTGGGAGCACTGGGATTGGGGTTCCAAGCAGCAGAAGGGGAGGTCCTTCTGGAAGGTGGCAGCTCTGGGAGGGGGAGGACAGCCAACCATTCATGAGTCCCCCAACTCAATGATTGTCCTGTGGGATGTGTGCATGGCTGAGGAAGTTGCACTTGGCCGTGGACACCGCCTGGGCCAGTGTACTTGTGCTTGGGCTGAGGTCTCTGATCTGCACTGCTCTGTGCTTTGCCCTAGTCTCGGCACACCCCGTGTGGGTGTTTCAGATTGCATCTCTCTTCGCACTGACCCTTGCGTTTTCACCCACATGTCTCCCACGCCACTCATCATGGCGATGCGCAGCTTCCATGTGGGATCCAACTGCCAGACTCCCCAGAGCTTCAGGCAGGCCATCGCGGACTGCCGGCGCGTGTTTGAGATGGGCCGCGGTGCCGGGTACGCCATGAGCCTCCTGGATATCGGAGGGGGCTTCCCGGGCGCAGAGGGCTCTGAGCCCATGTTTGAGGAGGTGAGAAGGACAGCCCCAGGGGAGGAGAGGCGGGCTGCCTGGGGACAGCGTGTGTACATGAGGCAGTGTGCTTGTGCAGGGGAGCTTCTGTAACCGAGGATCTGTGCACGCGCTGGGGTTGTCCTTGGTCAGAGATCTGTGCAGAAGTGGCCGTGTGCGTGTCTGAGCGCGTGTGCACCTGCTCCATGTCTTTCTTAGGACGGGTTAGCTGCTAGCCCTGGTTAGGCTGAGGCCAGGTAGAAGTTTCCGATCCCCCAGATCCAGGGAACATTCCATATTTGCTGAGCCTGTTTGATTTCAGTATTTTCAAGTTCACACACAGCTCGGGAGCCAGGGTCTATATTCCTGCTGGATATTTCCTCCTCAGTAAAAGACAGGCTGGGCAGATCTTCCCATGGTGCTGTTGCAGGGCAAAAAGAAAGGAGGCAGGTCCGGCTGGCTGCATAGGGACGGGACATAGTTGAGGCTGGGTCTGTCCCCACAGATGGTGAGAGAGATCCACGCTGCCCTAGCCCAGGACTTCCCTGAGGGGACTGGCGTAGAGGTCATCGCAGAGCCTGGCCGCTTCTTCGGAGAGCCTGTCTGCACAGCTGCTGTGAACATCATTGCCAAGAAGACTGTGCTGGTGCCCGGTGGGTGGACTGGGAGGGCTCTGGGTGGGCAGGCCACGGTCCAGAATTCTCCAGGTACGCAGGAGAGGATGGGCTCTGCCCTGGGTACATAACTATAGGAAAGAAGATTTGAATTGAGAGCAGAAAAGAACCTGTCAATGTCACTGGGTTTTGCTGTTGTTGTTGTTTTGGGGTGTTTTGTTTTGTATTTGAGACAGGGTCTCACCATGTAGCCCAGACTGGCCTTAAACCCATCATTCTTCTGCCTCAGTTTACTGAGTACTGGGATTATAGGCATGCACTACTATATCTGGCTCAGTCACTGGTTTATTGTCTCTGGGAGACTAAGGTAAATTGCGAAGACCAAGGTGTTCACTCTTCCTGATAGTCAGTGTGTCTATACTGCATTCAGGAAGGTGTATTGCAGATTACAGCTCACAAGACCCCAGACACCCTTGCGCAAGTGTGCACTCAATAACTAAAACTAGTAAATTCTTTAGCAAGCATACAGGTACAGCAAGTGACAATCTTACAGTCAAAAATATATAAAGAAATCAAGGCAGTCTCGTTACCCTCATATCCCAAGGGTTAACACCTGGGATGCCAGTCAGCCTGTTGACAATTGATGCTTGTCACTGGAGAGGTCTTCAAGTCTTTTCCTCTTGAGGCTGAGGGGTTAGGGCTGCTGTTCTCACAGAACTAACCAGAAACATAATTCCATGATGAAACAGAGAATATTTTTTTCTTAGATCTAACCCACTGAATTAGAGGTCATTGCTCTTTGCAGCTTGGTGAATACCGACATGTAAATATTTATAAGCCACTCTAATCGCCTCCCTTCTTTTGACAAGTGATTGGCCCACAGCTCTGTGCTCCCAAAGGCATTCACAGAGGCTGGGTGCCTCTTTAAAGAACCCTGTGATGGAAAGCACACAGGTTCAGCCATCATCTCACCAAAGTCTGAGTTATAAATATTTGGGACTCCTTGTGTTTTATGTCTGTAATGACAAGAGCTGCCAATTAATCCAGATCAATGATGTGGGAAGTATATATCTTATCTCATTTCTGCTCAATGATCCTGCTGTTGCTTTAGGTCATCTGTGCTTACAGGAAGTGATATTGAGGCTAAGAGAGGGGAAGTGACCTATCTAAGGGAGCGCAGCTAGGCAGAGACACAGGTGGCCCCAGGTCCATCTGACTCCAATGGTTCAAGAGCAATGTTCTGAGGACAGACTAATATGGCTTTGGGGAACCAGCTTGGTAGAATAAGGTCAGATCCACAGGATCTGGAAGTCATAAATGACCAGAAGCTCAGTATACACCAGGAGTGTGAGAAAGTCAAGGAGACAGCTACCATATGCTTACTTCAGCAGTATCAATAGAGGCAGAGTGTTATGATGGAGGGAGGTGAGAATTTGGGCACTGTTTTATTCTATTTTTTCATTTGTTTTTGGCATTGTTTTATAGTACACCCAGGTTTGGTTTAATTGGTGGAGACAAACTGAAACAAAGAAAGAGTTTAAACAGCGCAGATGGGAGGCACTGCACCCACCAGGGCCACATGCGAAAGCTCCAGGCGGGGTCAGGAGGCAGGAGAGAGTGGGAAGTGTGAGCCAGAGTCACAATTGTGAGTTTTGAGAAAGAGAATGGTGAGGCCAGGCAAGCAGATGAGGCAGGCTTGGGACTGGCTAGTTTGAATGATTTCAACAGACTGTGGTACGAGGACTGCCCTAGTCCTTGGCCCAGGGGCAATGAGACCTGGGAGAAAGTGTCTCACCTGTGAGAGCTCAAGAAAGGAGGCAGCCAGCTGCCTTGGGCTCCTGGCTGGGGGTGTGCACATGAAAGGCAATTTGTGGGGGTCATGGCTGTAAGGCAAATGTAGGCCCCCAAATGACCACGTGGAGAGGAGTGATCTGGCCAAGAGATTCTTTATGCCGGGTGGGAGAGGGAGAGAGCAGAGAGAGCAGAGAGAGAGAGAGAGAGAGAGAGAGAGGCAGGGGCTTAAATACCCCTCAGTGAGACTCAGCATGATCTGATTGGTTAGGATCTTATGGTTCATGCTGATTGGAGGTTGGGACAGAAGGAGGATTCAAGCTAGGCTTGAGGCAGGACCTTGACCCTGGAAAACAGAAGCTTAAGGGTGCAGTAAGAGCCAAAACCTATTGGTGCCATTATTGCCAATAATGGCTGCCTCTGGGAATTAGCTAGTCCTGGAGCGGCAGTCTCTCCTGGGTGAGCAGAGGCCCTGATGTCAGAGCATCAAGAAGGTACAATAAGGGCAGGACGTGGTGGTGCTGTAAGCCAGCTCCTGGGCAGGTGGAGGTGGGATTGCTGTCCAAGGCTAGCCCAGGCAAAATCAAGCTGATGCTAGGGGTGTGGCTCGAGTGGTAGCCTGCTTGTCTAGCATGTGGTAGGCCCTGAGTTCAAACACTAATACTGGAAAATCAAACAAACACACACAAATAAGAAAATCGTTAATACAGTCAGCCCAAGGAGGAAGGAAACTGGCATATTAGTCCACCCTGAAGAAGCCAAAATGGGTCATTTGCTCCCATTTCTGCCTCATACAACAGCAGGTGCTCAGGAAACTTGGTCCAAGGTGAAGGTTAAGAATTGGGACCTGAGTCCCGCAGATGAATTCTGACCCCACCACATTCTCTTGTGAACTTCTGGCAACAGTAACGCAGGGATTGTTGCACCTACTGGGTTTAGTTAAGGGGATTTACTTGATCCTCACCTGTGGAGAGCTACAGGTCATCATATCCTTGTTATTATATCATTAGTGCTGTGATGGGGACAGCAGAGGGCAGGGGGACCAGGGGGCAGGCAGTAAGGCCTGCATAGAAGGAGGATCAGGCAGGACTCCTGGGCAGGGAACAGGAGTTATTCAGTGCTGGGCAGAGGGCCTGGGTCTCTCCTAAGAGTGCCAGGACTCAGGTGTGGAGGGTCAGTAGTGAGACCCAGCCCAGCACACCTCAGTCCTGCCCATTCCTCACTCCCAGGAGGCCACCGGAAGCTGATATACTACTTCAATGAGGGCCATTATGGCAACTTCCGTATCTTCCTCAGGGAGCCTGTCTTCAGGACACCCATCGTGATAAAGGTAAGGGGCCTCCTGGGTTCTGAGACTGCCAAGCCCAGCCCCAGATTACCACGCCAGGTGTGCACACAAGCATCTTGGTGTGTGCCCTTGTGTGCATGCGTTTTCTAGCGTGGGATGCTGACTAACACCTGTGCAGGTAGGTGGGTGTACAGGCACACGGTGGATGGAGGTCACGTGGATCCTGAAGGAGTGACATGCTTGGTACATCTCTCTGTACGTACTGTGCGTTTGTGTTTCCAGAATCCTGGAATGGTGCCCACATTACAATCACCTGGGAAGTCTTAAAAGCCCTCACTGCCCAGGTCATGCTCCTAGACCACTTAAATCAGAATTTCTGGGGGGGTAGGACCCCAACATCAGTGCTTTATTAAAAGTCTCCAGGTCATTCCAATGTACGGTTAACATGGGGACCTAGTACTCTGAGTGATTAGTCAATAAAATCTTCCTTCTTTATAGATGGGAAAACTGACCTCCCATGTGTGGCTGCACTGGGGCACTGGCAGGGTTGGACAATGTCGCTGTGCAGAATATAAGCTCCGGGAGGGCAGGCGTCTTTGTTTGGTTCAATGTTTATCACTAAGACCGGGAACACTTGACTGGCTCAGAGTAGCAACTTGATCACTGCTGACTGGCTGAATGGCAGTGTCCTGTCTGGTGTGCCACCACTTGTGTCCCACCAGAAACTGCTGGCCTGGAGAGTGGGACCAGGGGACAGGGTGGAACTCTTCTCAGATCTCCTCCCCCTTGCTCCCTGCAGGAGTTCCCCTCAGAGCCTCCCCTCTTCCCCTGCACCCTCTATGGCCCCACATGCGATGCCTTTGACAGACTGTTCTCAGAGGAGGTGCAGCTGCCGGAGCTGGATGTGGGTGACTGGCTCATCTTCCCCTCCATGGGTGCCTACACGTGCTCCATGAGCTCTACCTTCAATGGCTTCCAGCCCGCTACGGTCTACTACGCCATGAGCCCCCAGCTCAGGTGTCTGGGGTGGGGCGTGGAGGGTTGGGACTCTCACCAGGATCTGAGCCAGGCAAGGGAGGCTGGTAGCAGAGCTTGGTGGTCCCGGGTCTAGGAAATGCCCTGCTTCCCATTGGCCCAAGCAGGGCCTAGTGTCTCTGGATGTACTTTGACACTGGACTCTGCTTGTGGGGTTGACCCAGTCTCAGTCTCTCTCCAGGGAAATCCAAAGTTTCCTGGGCAGCTCTAACAGCTTCGAGGATGCCTTGGCTCATGACCCATCTGGCCCTCCGTGGCACAGCCCACGCCCTACTTGCTCTAACCATTTGTACTGGCTCCCCACTTCCGTGGTTCCCTCCTCAGATAAGCCTCCCCTGCCAGCCTCACTGCCCCTGCCCTGGGGTCCTCTCTGCCCAGTCTAGGGCTGCTTTCCAAGGAGACAGAGGGGCTCATGACACACCTATACTAGCATAATCTCTTTACAGGAGCCTGCTGGAGACAGGACCTTAGGCCCGGATGTGGCCCTGGTGAAGTGGCTCCAGATGCCTGGTGCGCCCACCTGGGGAGAATTTGGGGCAGGGGGGCAGGGAGAGTCCTTGGAGGAAGCAGACATCAGCTGCTTCTGCCCTGATGAGGCAGTTTTTAAGGTTCAAAACTGCTGTCTCCCCAAGTGAGCCAAGCATTAGCCCCAAGTACCAGCTGGCTCTTCTGGGCAGCTCCCGAACTCCCTCCTCCTAACCCACTAGACCATGTGTCCGGGTGGAGCTGAGGAACTTGTGCTGACACACGAGCACTCCCTATAGGCCCTGAGCACATTAAAAGGCCAAAAGCAATATTTGGGGAGTTCTCATCTCAAAAAGAGACTGTGTCCTGCAGGGAAGGACTTTGGCAGAGAGGTGGGTAGGAGAACTTCAGGGTGACTGTCCTGCAGTGAGGGAAGAGGGAGCGGGCCCCAGAGGCAAAGCACCACCTCCTGTGTGCTTTCCAAGCTTGCCTCTGAGGATTTCTCTGACCCACAGCCTCTGAGTCAGCACCACTAATCCCATGGTTGCTTCCTCTGCTCAGGCAAAGCCCAAAGAAATCTGCCATCATCCTTAGGCTGAAGAGCATTCTCCCCCAAACATCTGAGGAGAAGGGGTAGCTGCAAATGCCTCCCACAGAAGCCAGAGGCTCAGCCTTCAAGACAACGTGTTGCTCATTGGGCTCCCCACAGAGCATGAAAATTGGGAGCAGACGTGCTCATCCCTACTGCTCACAGGTGTTTGGAGTACAAATATGAGTGGGCTTTTGGGAAAACATAAAGTTAAGTTCAAGTGCAAGATATAGATGTTTCTGTGTTTTACTTGTCCTATGGGTGCAACCCTGTGGGATTGTGGATATTTGTCTTTCCATCCATCCATCTATCCATCCACCCATCATCTATCTATCATCCACCCATCATCCAATCCAGCATCCATCCACCCATCCATTCAATAAAGTATGAGGACCTTGTCTGTCTGGCACTGTCTAGGCACAGGAGGCATAATGAACAAGACAGGCAAAAGTGGAGCTTACCTTCCAGATGAGAAAAGACAGAGCATGGAGAAACCATAAATAAATGACAGCAGAAGTGCTGTGAAGAAAAATAAAACACAGCAGGGAGGAGTGAGCAACAGAGAGCTGTGCGGAGATCAGGGCTCTCTCTGACAAAGTGAGATGTGAGCTGAGACCTGGAGGATGCGAGCCATGTGGTTAGCGGGGCAGAGAGTTCCAGCATGGGAAACAAGTCCAAAGGTGGGGTGGAGACTGTTCATGAAAAGCAAGGAGGGCTGGAGGCGTAGCTCAGTGATAAAGAACTCATCTTATGTGTGAGGCTCTGGGTTTGATCTCCAGGACAGTGGAAGGAGGGAGGGAGGGAGGAAAGGGGGAAGGAAAGAGGGAGAGAGGGAAGGAAAGAGAGGAAAGGAGGAGAGAAAAGAGGAGAGGAGAGGGGAGGAAAAGACAGGAAAGAAAGAAAAAGAAGGAAGGAAGGAAGGAAAGAAGGAAGGAAGGAAAGAAGGAAAGAAAGAAAAGTAAGCCAGAAGACTCTTGTGTGGAGAGGTCAAGGACAGTGTAGGGAGATGGGTACTGGGCTGACCCTGCCAAGCCTCATGGTAACTCAGGATGTCAACATTTTTCAGAGCAGGCAAAGGCAGTGAGTTTGAGAGAGGACATAGCCATCTGAGGTCAAGTGAGGAGGCTCCTGCAGCAGAATATGAGGCTTGTGGGGGTGGGGGAGATGGAGGGGTGAGAAGCATATGTGTTAAAGGCTAAGCTAAGAGAATCTGCTGAGGACTCAGAAGTGGACTATGAGGCAAAGAGAAGAGCCAAGTTCTACTGCAGGGACTGGGCTGGAGCTGCCCTTATACACATGGGGACACTAAGGAGAAGCAGATTAGGGGGGCTGAATACCGGATTCAGTGTTGGACAAGTTAGTTACACTGGAGGAGCTCAGGACAAGTTAGGAGAGGACAAGTTACATTTGGAGAGGACATCCAAATGGGGTCCTCCAGGGACCAAGTCTCCAAGGAAAGGTCAGGATGAGCCATGTACACTGGGCAGTAGTGACTGGCATAGGGTCGCCTGTAAATTCCTGGGGTCAGTGAGACCAGCCATAGATAAAACAGTCACAGAAAATGAAGAGACGGCTTCAACAAAATTGGAGAACAATTCTGCCCGGAAGCAGGGATGAGGGGAGGAGGGCAAGGGGGAGAGGAGGTCCAAACAATATACACATATGAATAAATATAAAAACAATAAAATAAAATAAAAAAAGAAAATGAAGAGAAGAAATGCTCCAAGAAGGAAGCAATGCTCACTGTCTGCAATGCTACTGAGAGGTGAGCTCCATGAGACCAGGACTGCAAAAAACAGAAGCCATGGGTGGTCTTGGTCAGGAGTTTCCATGGTGCAGGAAGGTGGCCACCGAGTCAGATGGGGTGTGTGGAAGAAATGGTGGAGCACGGGCCCTCTAGAGAGAGGTGCTGTGAGGAGAGCAGGAAGAAGTGGGTGGAGGGGCTACCTAGGGGTCATTTTAGGGTAAGATACCATGGCTTACAGAGACAATTAAAATACACAGAAGAGAGAAGCAAGAACGCAAAAGCAAAATCCGTGGGTGGGTGAGAAGGCTTGGGCCCCTGATCTAGGTGGGGGGTAGTGGGGTCGTGCATTGGAGCAGGGTGTGGGGGGAGGTTGGCATTGGGAGAATGCGGTATTTTTTTTTCTTCTGATTTGCATCTCAGTGATATAAGTACCAAGGCCATGGCGAGGAATGAGGGGCAGGGGCAGGCCTTTGTGTTTGGAGGGGAGGGGCATAGGTAAGAAAGTCACAAGACTGAGATAGTGGATGGGGCTCTGAACTATGGTCACACTCAAGGTTTAGTGGGGGTCACTTGAGGGCAAGGCCAGTCAGCTGGTGAGTTTGTCTTCACCCATGTCCTGCCACGTGGGTGGGCGCAGGTACAGAGCGGGTGGAGGTTGGGGGAGAGCCAAGGGAGGTGGAGATGGCGTGGACCATGAGGTGACCACGTGTGGCCCCTCCAGTTCTTGATGCTTTGTTCTGCCACTTTCTGTGCATCCATAGCTTTCGCCTGCTGGCAAAAGCCCACAGGCCACTCACAACGATCTCACTTTGTAGGGGCAACTTACCCTGGGTCACCTGCTTAAATGTTGGCTTGGTGTCCTCCATTAAGGGCAATAAGGTAGCCTGCATCCCAAACAGTGAAAATTAGCAAGTGTTGGCTCTTGGGTAAACTGAGTACTAAATGCACTGCATAAGCGCATAAGCCATGTGTGTTCACTGTTTAACTGTGGTTACCTGCTGCCACCCATTGGCTACTCTTAGGATTGTACCTGAGTGGAACTGCTCATAGCCAGGGTGGCTGGTTAAAGAGGGCTCGTATTTTGTTTCTGTTTTTTTTTTTTTTTTAACAGTACTGGGGCTTGAACTCAGGGCCTTCACCTTGAGCCAATCCACCAGCCCTATTTTTGTGAAGGGTTTTTCAAGGTAGGGTCTCAAGAGCTATTTGCCTGGGCTGGCTTCAAACTGCCATCCTTCAGATCTCTGCTTCCTGAGTAGCTAGGATTACAGACGTGACCATGGGCACCCGACAGGAGTTCTTTTCTTTCTTTCTTTTAAAATCTATCTATCATTTATCTTTCTGTCATCTGATTGTCTGTCTTTCCGGTGCTGGGATTTGAACCGAGGGCCTCGTGCATGCTAAGCAAGTGCTCTACCACTAAGCCACATGGGTGACTTTAAACAGTCATCCGTCTTTGCCTGCTTAATCCATTCATTCCCGATTTTATTGGACATTTACTCAGTGCCAGACAGTGTCGTAAGCATTAGGATTGATCAGGAGTGAAGGGAGAGAGCATTGCTCTTTAGTGAGGACATGGCACGTCGGGATGAAGGAGAATAGGGACTAGACAAGGAAATTAACAAGAGAGAATGTAGATGGTGATGGTGCAGTGACTGGAGATGACACTGAAAGAGAGACTAGACAGATGGGAGGGTTGGGGCAGGGGGAGTGGGGAGCACAGCCCCGGAAGGGGCAGCAGCATCAAGGCCTGGAGGGGCTGCAAGGTCAGGAAAAGTAGGTGGCCAGTGAGGTGAAGCCTAGGCCTCAGCCCATAGCTGTTCGAGTAAACTGATCTCTCAGGATAGGGACACAACTGATCTGTCTACCAGTCGCCACCCAGCTGTCCACTCCCTCCTTGAAACTCTCACCCTCTCTTTGCTTATGTGACACCAACCTCTGGTGGTTAAAACAAAAAAAAACCAAACAAACAAAAACTAAGATTCTCCTGTGAAAATTAAAGCTTAACAATCAAAAAAGAGACATTACTGGCTTGAAGGAACCCATGGACATTATTATTTTTTTTTCATTTTTATTTTATTCATATGTGCATACAATGTTTGGGTCATTTCTCCTCCTTTCCCCTTGCCCCCCCTTCTTCCCCCCTTCTCCTTCCCTTACCCCCTCTTACCCCTCACTACCAGGCAGAAACTATTTTGCCCTTATCTCTAATTTTGTTGAAGAGAGAGTAAAAGCAATAATAGGAAGGACCAAGGGTTTTTGCTAGTTGAGATAAGGATAGCTATACAGGGAGTTGACTCACATTGATTTCCTGTGCGTGTGTGTTACCTTCTAGGTTAATCCTTCTCAAACTAACCTTTTCTCTAGTTCCTGGTCCCCTTCTCCTATTGGCTTCAGTTGCTTTAAAGTATCTGCTTTAGTTTCTCTGCGTTGAGGGGAACAAATGCTATCTAGCCCATGGACATTATTACAAAAGCTGGAGCAGGAATACTGTCGCAGAGTAAAAGGTCAAGGTCCATATTTGCAGGGTGGCAGAGGAGCACATAGCAAAGTGATTACAATAGAGTCTGTTTTGCTTGTAGCTGTGGCCATGTTCTAAGTGTGTGTTTGTGGCCCTGTCTGCTGCTAATAGTGAGCCATCCTTGCAAATAAAATGAATATTTATAAGTTGAT